TTAACTACAAATGATGTCATACAAAGAATCAAAGAAGAAAAATAAAACAATAGGGGAGATAAGATTTTTTGTGAAAATCTAGAAAAAAAAAAAAAACTTGGAGACTTGGCTAGTTGAAATAGCATTCACTAGTAGCATGTGTGAGATATAAAAGGTTGCCCATCCACAATCTCAAAGAATTCATTAATACAAAGCATACATATGATAGTTATTGTCATAATCTTTGATGTTGGTGATATATGTGGTGGAATGCTAGGGCAATCCTCATCATAATGTGAAGGAAGTAAGATTTTGAATATAGCAGATAAAGCAACACCAAAAGATCACATAGTTAAGGAAGAACTTAAGACAACACTATTTTATAGGTAGAGACCGTAAAACATGAATGTAATGATAAGGCATCACAAGAAGGTCATGGATGCCAATAAATATGGTCATGTTTGTCTCTCTCAGAGATGCGGATAAGATTATCTAAAGGAAGTGCTAAGTGATGTAAGAAAGAATTGATGACCAATTGAGGAAATCAGATTAATTTTATCCAAGAAGTGAAAATGGACAAGCTTGAAGGAGATGATAGATAACATAAGTATGTTTTAAAGACCACTAGAAGTGATTAGATTGGTCCGTCCTTTGTAATGCATGGACATGATATGATATAAATGACATGGTAGAGCAAGACAAGAAGTTTATGGAGATCATTAGAGGTTTCTCCTAGAGTTAGAGATGAAATGAGTTGAAGACAATGACTTAGAGTTAGAGGATGACTTCATGCAGTTGGGATAGTATTCCTTCTAAAAGAAAGAGAGACGGGTTGATTGAGAGTTGGCATGCAAGTTAGAGTTGATAAGCAACTTCGAATTAGTAGGGGATTGGAGTCAACATATATACTAGAGTTAGTATGTAATTTGAAGTTGATGGGCAACCTAAAGTTGTTGTATAATTATAATTAGAAGTGGACCCAAAGTCATTGAGTCACTAGTAGACGTTGAGAATAGGAGATGTTTGTGGTATTCCTTATGGAAAGAGAAAATATTGGGTTTTTGAACTCGATGACGAATTGTTATAAGTAGTTTGGATTACTATAGATATAGAATGATGGATTGCGTGATCAAGAAATCATGTGTAATGTTGGGTGATGCTTAACAAAAAGGTATAGGTCTTGAATATATTGGGATATTAAAAAAAAATTAGCAATCTCGTCATCCATATATACTCATGATTACTCCGTAATAAGGTCCTTAAATATCATATTCATAAAATGCTAGTATGTTGCTTCAACATTCATCAATTTAAAGGGCGTAAATTTATAGCAAAATTTTCCCTTACTAGTGTAAAAGGATGTGGCTTAATCAAATAGATGCATCTCGATTTGATTAAGCATATGTCTATGAAGCTGATCATTTAGTGTTCTAAGGTGGTGTCAATAATTTGTTTGATTAAAGAAAGAGGAAATTCATTCTTAAGATAGCTTTATTAAGGTTAATGTAGTTAACACACAATTCTACTTTCGTTAGACTTCTTTTCATGACAATGTTTATGAGACTTGTAGGAAATGGATCTCTCTAATGTAATCAGCCTCTAGGAGCTTGTCAATATCTTATTTAATGTCCTTCAAGCTATTTGAAGAAATATTGTGTTAGTTTTGCATGGCTAACTTGAAATAGGGATCTATAATGAATATCTCAAAATTGATATACATGTCTATTAGGCTTCAAGTGATGCTGGCTTGATTTAAACATAAGAAATTGGCATACTTAAGCGTTTCTCTATCATAAAGAAGAACAAATTCTAAACTAGTCAGGCCAGAAATTCTTTTGAGATCCAAATCACTATGAGGTGTTTGATATAATAGGCCTTCTATAAAGCCCCATTATGCTTGATGACAAAGTTATCAATATTAAAGTTTACTAATAGTTATGGTTGTGCTTGATAGAGGTATTAGGAATGCACTACTTATTAGTTTCGTTTCACTATGTTAGTGTAAGCATGAGTCAAAGTTTTAATTTTTATATGTGGGATTGATTTGATAACATCGATGATGAACAAAAGGGATCTCCCAAATATTATGATATAGGCTAACATAAATTTAACTACTTTGAAATGAACGAGTGAGTTACTTGATAAATGAACTCCCCAAGCATAAGAAGCAATATGTTGGTTCCTTCAACTCTAACGATTGATTCTTAAACACATCATGGGACTAATAGTTGGATGGAGCCTCTCTCTAGCTTAAGTCTGAGCTAACAAATATGGACTAAAATAGGATAGAAATAGAACTTTCATTATCAATTAGGATCCTCTTCACATTAAAGCATAGGTCATTAATCCATGTATGCATAAAAGTGTGTTTTTGTGTGGCGATTTCACCCTTTTGAGTCATTGATAGTGTTGAAATGATCAATGTATGACTTCTTCATTATTAGCTTTTAAGGTTGGTAATACAAATTTAGATTGAAAGTAGTGTTCTATCGATGATAATTTCAACATTTCTTACTAGTTTGTAATTATTATATTATTAATGTCATTGAGGTTGCTGCTAGGTAAGTTATTTCCTCCTATGTTCTCTTCTCATAACATTTGGCAAATCAAAATGTTTCAACTGAGCGTTGAAGATCTTTTCAATAGTGATCTATGCCTTAATCTAGTCGACTAGATTAGTATAAGAGTGGATCTTTTCATGCATTAGTACATAGTATAATGGTCCAAAACATAGTCCTTCAAGAAAGAACCCCACAACAATTCAAGGTCAACCCCTAAAATATGTTGAACCTCAATAGAAAACATTTAAAAGTACTTCTTAAAAGACTCCCCCATATTTTGGAAATGTTAAAAAGATAGGAGCGCTCTTTGATGATCCTCCTAATCATAAGGATTTAATAGATGAAAAGCTCTACTAGCTTTATGAAGGCGTTGATAATTTCATGTAAATTAGAATAGAGTCTTTGTCTAAGACTAGCCCTTAAAAGTGGATGAGAACACCAAATAAAGAAGCACATTAGAGGTATAGTAGTGTTTAATAGACAATTAGGGATTAAATGAGCCATCATATGGATCAATGGTTAATAAAATTAACCCCATTAGTATGAGAAGTTAAAGGATTTCATCAATGAGTTGGGAGGACTCTTGGGAGCCCCAACATGATGTATTTAAATCTATACTTTATGAAGATTATTTATGGACCAACAAAAAGCTGATCAAAATGATCATGCCTCTATGTAGACTAGCATGAATTAATTAGGAGGAGCACCCATTATTAGGAAAGCCTTCAATTAGTGAACATTTTATATCAACTTGAACCTCTCAATATCCCAAATCCAATAAAATTGACAAATCAAAATTCCGAACCATATATTGATCAAAACAATTATAAGAAATTCATAAATCAAAATACGTAGTCACCATGATACAAGTACAATCATTTATCTCACTACCGGATGCCTGAATATTTTTTTTCCATTGTGTCCTATTAATAATCAAATTCTCATTTAAACCTCATTATAAGATCATTTCTAATATTTTCTAATCAAGTCCTTTTAGGTCAACCTCTCTACCTCTCTACCTCTCTTAACATAGGACAAATATAATACATCTATTCTCCTAAACAGTCCGGTCATCAAAAGGATGACATTTTAAGTGACCAAACCATCTAAGACGACTCTCTCTAATCTTATATGCTACTGGAGCTACTCCAACCTTTTCACGTTATGCTCATTTTGCATTCTATCTCTAAGAGTAAAGCCACTCATCCACATAAGCATCCTCATCCCTACAACATTTAACTTAATTGTATGCTTATATTTTAATGGACAACATTCTATGCCATAAGGCATTGCAGGTCTCACGACCATCTTAAAGAATTTACCTTAATTTGATGGGTACTTTTCTATCACACCACAGGCCCAATGCATTCCTCCACTTTAACCATCCAACTTGAATCATAATAATAATATCCCCATCTATTTCACCATCACTCTAGACAATAGACCTGAGACATCTTAAATGTATACTCTTATTAATGATTTGATCACCCAAAGCCACAATTCCCCCATTAGATCTATTGCTAGTAAAATTACATTTCATGTATGCAATTTAAGATATACTCAAACAAAAACCTTTAAACTCTAAGGTTGACCTTCATAATTCAAGTTTACTTTCAAGTCTCTCTCTATTCTTATCAACAAGAAGAATATCATCAGCAAAAAACATACACGAGGGTACATCCTCCTGCAAATGTTTAGAAAGAACATCCATGACTAAAGCAACATCAAGATCAAATTAACATCACAAATAGTTCTCAAATTATAGATTTATCAATGATGTAAAAACTCTAAGAAGATCATTTTCGTTCTTCTAAATTGCATGAAAATGAATGCTCTACATCACAATCTAAGGTCATGAACAAATTGCTTGCGAGGAAAGACTCTGAAGTGAGAACAGGGGGCAAGGGGCTCAGCAGGAGATGCCTCCATTAGCATGGAAGGCCATAGCTGCAAGCATTCACCTCCCACCTTAAAATGTAGTTGCATTCATACAAAGAACAGAGAGAAGGGTTCAATTTGGTCCCCTCAATCAACTTAAATCCATTTGCTCAAAATTATTTGAGCGCACTTATGCACCAAAATGGGCTCAAAATTAGATGATTTTGATAATTAACCACATAATAAAGACATTTCAATATATTTGATTTATCTGCAACCAAATAACTCATGTGCTTAAAAAATTCAAGCCTTTCAATCACTCTAAATTTCTAAAATACATATATTTTAAAAACAACTAACCAAACAACTTTTAATAAAATTTTTAATAACAAATGAGCTCACGGATTAGTGGCTCAGTAATTAAAAACATATCTACTTTGGCAAGTTTAAAGGGACTCCTAAAGTGCATAGACTTCAGCAATAACAATTTTGATATTATTGTACTCTACAAACAAAAGATGGACTGTGATACAAAGAAATATTTCGAGAGTAAATAGTTTCAAGTGTTGGAAGCAGCTTACTATAGCATGGACGAAATTGATTGTCGATTGAACTCAAATATGTGATCAGACTACCCTCTAAAGAAACCTCGAGCAGATTTTTATGGTGACCATCACGCCTCAACTGCAAGTCCTTGTTCAAAATGCTTCGACTCCTGCAATGAAAGACAAGAACAACAACAAACAAGTCACTAATTGGGAGTGTTTAGCTAATTCAAATCAAATAGAAACAGGATAATGCTGAGCAAAAGAGAGAGGGCAGAAGAGATGCTACACATTCTTTATAAAATATAACACATCAAACAATATAATAAAAAGCAGTAGATCTTGTTTTGGTCACTCTATCTTTATGTTTTCCAGAATCCTGCAATCCTACGCTCTCCCTCCTCCCTTCCCTAAGTTAAAGAAAGCTATATGTGTTGACAGAGAGAGTGGAGTATTAAGATGCTACAATTTGAGCAGACTGAGTGAATTGGATTAAAAAATTCATAATTATGAACATAATTATGTGTATTGCACATCAGTGTAGTTTATTGTAATGCAAAGTTATTCACTAATGCCAACAAAGACACCATTGAGTGATTGAGAGCTCTCTCTCACTCTCTGCCAGCGGCCCATGCTCAAGCACACTAACTCTCACTAGCTGCTAACAATGATTTAGACTTAGCTAGAATCAAAATTGGATCAAGCCAACCAATAACTCAGCTTTGCGATAGAACATGGATCAGGTTACAATTGGATGGTTAATAGCCTATCAATGATGATCACAAGGTCTTTAAACAACATACAACACATAAGGAGCACCTGATACGGAGACTTCGAATGGCTGGGATTGAGTGGGTTCTAAGCAAGCAACTAAGGAGCACTAGCTTCCTGCCTTAAGCATTGTAATGCATCAGCAGCACCTTCATCTTTTACAGGAATGTAACAATAATGAACCGAAACAGTACAATTCACCATCTTAGAGATGGTCATGTAGCATTATCAGTTATCACCATCAACAAGCACTGTAATAAAAGAGTTTAAACGAATCTTCAAAAAACAACAGGGTACATTAAGAGGAGATGATGATAACGATTTTGGTAGCTAAAACTATTAGATACAGCCCTTTCTCTTCTCTCGTTAGCAGACTTGGACAGGCATTGAAATTGGGTATTGATCTCATAAACAGGATAGAAGATCTTTAATTGCATGGATGCTACATCAAAAATAAGTTCAATAGAAATGGGAGTGGTCAAGTTTGAAGAAGAAAACCATTAAAAAATTTCTGAGAAACTATTTAGTGCTTTCTGCATGATTCAGAAACCTCGTTACAAGTAGATTCATCAAATGATAAGGCCTGAGAACATGTAATTGCAGCTATCGACTTCTATCAGCTAACCATACAATAAGTTTCTCAAGAAATTTTTTGGGGCCATTGCGCAATAGTTTAAGATCAATACCTACTTAGAAAAAAGCTCATTGGGATATCATGAATGTAAAGATGCAGTGGATCAAAAACCATCAAGCAAAAGAAATTACCTGAATGGAAATATTCACAACATCATAGAACAAACTTGCTGTCTTCTGCCTCATGGAGCTAACAACTTCTTGATTCCTGCTTTCTCCTCTGCAGTTAATCTATTTGGGAACTTTATGTTGAACTTGATCCTTAGGTTACCTTTCTTGGATGGATCCTTGGGCATTGGCATGCCTTCCCTGGGTACAACCTCCTCATAGCTGGGATGGATTACAGAACTTATAGGAATTGTGAGGCTTCGGCCATCTAAGGTTGTTATATGGGCAGTGTATCCTGTCAAAGCCTCAACCAGTGAGATTTTTTGTGTCATAACAAGGTCATTTCCCTCCCTACTAAACACATCATGAGGTTTCTCATCAACGATGAAGACTATATCTGCAGGAATTACGTTTGGAGTCTCATTTCCTTTTTCTGGGAATGTGATTTTTGTTCCTTTCTTCCATCCAGGCTTGATATTTATAGTAAGGATTTCCTCCACGTTCATTGTTTTCCTGATCAAATCAGTATGAAATTGTCAGTGAGCCATAATAATCTAGGGAATAAGATAAACTTCAAAATGATCCCCAAATTATTCATATATGATCAATTTAATCTCAAAATATCATATTGCTCCAATTTATCCCTAGATTATACAAAACCAGTCCAATTGATCTCTTTGAGACAAATGGGATTAATTTTATATATTCGAGGGACTAAATTCGGATCAATTTTATATCTCAATTACGATATGAGGGACTTTTCAAGATCAATTTTATCTAGTCGAGGGATTCAATTAAAGCAAGGTGATATTGTGAAATTATATTAGCCACACACAAATAGCACAAGGACTATTTTAGGATTTTTCATATGTATACACACACTTCAAAACATTTGTGTGGGCTCCGAAAATTCGGCCCCGGCCTCCTCCGCTCACCTTGAAAGTTGCATTTGCATTGGTTAAAAAAGAAAGTACAAAAGAAGTATGGAAACAAAGACTATGCCTTCCCAAAGCAAAAAACAAAAGGTGGGAAGGGCTACTCTAGTAAAGCAAAACTCCATACAAGAATGACAATTCAAATAAAAAACAAAGGAAGTAACAAGGAGAAGCCCCTTTGATTCACAAGGAGGCCCACCCCGAGTGCATGCCTTAGAAGATCCAGTAGTGCTTAAAAGAACAACTCCAGAGGGGGGAGATACCTTAGATAGGGGTCAACACGCCCGAAAGCGTAGAGATCCCATTGCTCCGGCAGCCGGATAAGCACTACCTTTTTCCTAAGGCATGAAAAAGGGTAGGACCTCATTGTTCCTCAAAGGGGACAAAGTCCCCGCCAATGTCATCTTGTAAGTTCTTCCTCCTTTTCCTGGGCAAAGTAGCAATGGGCCCAAGCTGTAGAAGTTGCTTTTCCATAAATGCTCTAGAAGCCTTATGTTTTCTTTTGGTAAGATTCACTGAATTCGAAGTTGGGTCTTGATCATTTCTTTGAGCATGGAAAACAATTCCATCATCAGCCGTTTGTTGTTTACCCCGTGCATTCGACTTGCTCGGCGATAGATTCCGACGTTTGGGCTCGGTAGAGGGTGGCTGGGTGCTGGGCCTAGTCTCAACATTGCGCCCCTGGCCGTGAGAAGGGTGCTGTTCTGTCGGTTTTTGCTTGCCTTTTTTCCGTCGGGTGACAAGATTCCAGGTCCCAAACGAGCTATCTTCCGGGTCCTCGCAGCTAGGAGGCTCCTCCTGAGGCTGAACTGCCGAGCTGGGAGTAGGGACGGCCATGGACGTCCCTGTAGGATGCTTCTTCGTTTGGTGCTCATCACGTTCGGGGGTGGGGGACTGGTTATGGCTGGGAGCCTTGGAATGGCAGCTCCCCCTTTCGTGGCCAATGTACCCACAATCAAAGCAAAAGTTGGTTAGGCCCTCGTACTCAACCTTCTGAAAAAACCGCCCATGAATTCCGTTGATCCAAATTTCAGGGAGCAATCGTTGGGATAGGTCGATACGAACACAAATTCGAGCATACAACGATCTCCCCCATTTGCCCGTATGGGAGTCCATCCATAACGGATCATCGAGCATGTTGGCCATTCGATTGATGTTGTCGATGTCCCAATACATAAGGAGTAGTTGAGGCAACCGAACCCAAATAGGGGAGTGCAGCCCATGGAGAGAGTTGGGCGAGGCGTTGGGTGACCATTTATCCATGCCGATAATGTTTCCGGCCACGATCCAAGGCCCCCCCGCGAGCACAGCATCCCTCGCCTCCGAGCTTTGGAAGATGCATATGAAAGAGTTGGGGACAATGGTGATTAGCTCGAATTCCCCAAAGTGGAACCAACGACGCTTTAGCTCGTTAAGGAGATAGGGGAAGGCAATTCGTCTCCCCATCACTTTGGCAACAATAGCCCAATCAAGCTTGGCTATATTACTACGTACAGCTTCGGTTTTGAGATCCATGGACTTGCCGTCCCTAGCCATGAACGATTCCTTGCTCAATCTAGTCAAAGGGACAACCTGCACTTTGTTCCAAGCAAAGGGGCTGGACAGCGTGCCACCCATGGGCAGCAACTTAGCCTTGGGAGGCTGGTCTTGTGGGTTTGCATCCGCCGAAGTGGCAGCTGCATTGTCACAAACAGTGGCCGGGCAAGAATTCAGGTGCATGGGGGCATTACCACAAACGCCTTGAGGGCATGAAACTGTAGCATCATGGTTGTTGGCCGGATCAAAGGGCTGTTCACCCCTAATACTACCAGAATTGTCTCCCAACATAGCACAATCCATGCTACTCGAATGGAGATCAACATTTGGTCCAAGCTCATGAGGACAAACCTGGTCCTCGGTACAATCAGCCCAGGCCATGGCAACCCGCACGGCTGGACAGACCGCCTCCGCGAGCGCCTGCAGCTGCAGCTCCGCTCCATTGTCCTGGTCGTCTTCCATGTCAGTTTGCGACCCCGAAGCCTCGCCAGATTCCTCCATCTCGCTGGCCGAGCCGGCTTCCCGCTCAGAACAAGCGTCCCGATCATCCTCCATGTCCGACCTTCTCCCCCGCGGGGAATCACTATGTGAGCTGCTGCTGCACTCTCCCGCATCCTGGACGGGGGTCTTGGCTGCAATGGGGCCAGTCACTCGAGCAGCAGCCGTCAATGGGGATATACCGATCGAGCTCATGATCATCTCCCGCACCGCAGTCGGCTTCGCAATCGGCGACGTAATCCCGGGAGAAAACTTCCCATCGAGCTTGATAAACTTCGTGACCTGCACCTCCTCAGCAGCCGCCACCTTTCCTTTGAGATCAACCGCCTTGCCGGACCCTTGGGCATTCTCCTTGCCCGGCCTCGCCGCGCCAGTGGGCTTATGCCCTTTCTCCTCCCAAACACCAAGGGGAGCTGCTCCCTTGGCCGTAGCAGCCGAGAACCGGCCAATGCCCGGCGACTTTAACGAGTAACTCGCCTTACCTTTGGTCGTCAATGGCTCACCATCGCCAGCCTCCTCTTCGGCGAGCACTTGCCACCGATTTCCACCCTTGCCCTCCTTCTTGCCGCCGCCTCTACCTCCAAACCCCCCATTTGGAGGAGGTGACCTAGGGCCACCCCCTATAGCCATCCCAATGGCTCACCACCGCCGGCCTCCGCTCACCGCGCACTGGATTGTGCTTTTTGTTTTGGCGAGGGAGTTTTAACTGATAAGTTTCGAAGTAAATTTTGGAAGGCAGATGCGTTTGTAGATAAGACACTACCCAGAGATTTCGCCCTCATTTTGTGAGGACTTTATGATCTGAGTTCTGGTTTCTTATAGGCGCAAGCCCCTATAGTTAATTACCCCTCGCGATCACGAGAGAGAACTTTCGATTAAGGCTAGTTGTCAATCAGATACGTAGAGTATACGTGGTATCTGGCATATAGTAGCAGCATTGGGTACTGAGATAGTTGGAGAATTTGGGAATAGTTTGAATATTTGAAAATTTTGATATTTAAAATAGAAATTTCACCATCTTTCACTTAAAGCAGATGGTGGGGGAATGGATGATGGACCCGATCAAGATCCCATGGTTCCGTCGTCCCGAACCATTGTAGTCCCTGGTCTACTTAGTCAGAGGAGGTAGTCAATCCAACCTGACAAAAGGATCCTTGTCGGCAGTCATGGGTTGCTTCGTCCAAGGGTACCTTGTAGACCTGGGGTGGATGTTTGTCTAAGGGGACAAATTTGAATCCACCTTAGCTAACAAAGGGCTTTGTGCCCTATCGAACATATCCTATTGATTCATATCTCAAGGATTTGATGCCACTAAAGAGCGTATTGGCTCTGGCCATAACCGGTACATGAGGTGCCATTTGGCGGCAAAACCACTCGGTTCAGAGGGCCCCAGGTCATAACCATTTATCCTGTGGTGCCATTTGGCGGCAAAACAGCCGGTCAGAGGACACGTACCACGTCCTTATTGACAGGAGATTATTTGAGAATGGATCCTAGTGATATTTTTTATTAGACATTTGGCTCTTTGTGAGCTAAAGTTATATTTAAATTTGTCCACCACAGCAAACTGTTGCGGATGGTGGATAGATTTTGCTTTAAGTGGTTTGATGATTTAGTTTTCAATTTTAAATATTTGTATTTTGAAGTTTTGGATGTTTCTAGAGTTTTGAATTTCGTAGGAATTTGGGTGGCATTCGAAAATATTTGTGAACCCCTCCGGTTAAAATCTTCATCCAACACGGCCATCATCGGGGTGTTTGAGGTCATTTCCATTTGATTGAACCTTGTCGACCCTATCAACTTACCGATAGGGGATCGGGTTTCGTAGGCTTTGTGTCCTTGTTTGTGAAATTTCTTTGTTAAAGGCCTTGAAGGCCTAATATAAATGTATAAAATAAATATTCCGGTCAACTTTGTGACCGCATATTTATCTGATGGCTTGAACCCTATCCAATCCTATTTTACTTGCTTAGGAGGATCGGGTTTCGTAGGCGTCATACTTTTATTTAGTGAATTCTTTTGATTATAGGCCTTGAAGGCCTAATATGAATGTATTAAAACAAATACACCGGTCGCCACAATCGTGTATTTGTTTGGAAGTTCGAACCCTGTTGACTCCTATTAATCCGTATAGAAGGATTAGGTTCGAACTAGAATTCACTTATTGACCCGCACAGCATCCCTAAACGTCACGTGTGTACAAATAACACGCTCGCCATGGCCTATACGGCTGTTTGGGAATTTCATTGATTTGATATACCCCTTTGTGTACCTATGTGTACACAAGCTATGGTGCACGTGCAAAGGTAGCTTGAAATAGTTGTAGTTGTGTAGGTAATTGTCATTTGGATGCACAAACTTTTCATTTGAGATCATATACACGCCTTCTGCCCGCTAATACGAGTGTTGCGGATCCGGTGGCGATCCTTGTAGATTGTAAACGCCTTCGGTCTGCTTGCATAAGTATTGCAGATCCGGTGGCGATTTGGTCTTGTTGTTGACCCCCCTTTCTCATTCACCGGGGAAGATTCTTCTTGAAGTCCG